AAAAACGCGTACAGTCTGGAGCCTAAGTTTCCAGAACCTTCTGGTCTGACTGAGTCAGTACGTCAGTCAATCAGCACATGAGCAGATTACACGTGGGTTCGGCGTTCAGAGAATGCGGCAAGATGGGAACCCAGGCTAATTTCTGCCCAGAGCGACCTTGAAGTTGAAAGCGTTGTTACTGCTCTGTTATGGCATACCGGTCTTATATTTCGTGTTTACCGCAATCATGACATGGATATAGTCTGCATATTAATGTTCAAAAAAATTAAAAGGAGTCTCCCTTTTCATCATGATTTTTGATCCAATATATCGCCAGTAATAGCACATAGGTCCTAGGGTCCTGGAATTTCTGCTCACTATGCTCAGGTAATTAGCCGCATCTGAAAGCAATTCTCAGATCAATCTAAACAGTCCGCTGGGTCTCGAGTATGGGTCTGAATCAACAACAAAGGAAATGCAATAGGTCCTTTCTTAACGGCATTGAGACTGGAAGAGCTGTAGCTTTTCTCATACGACGTACCGGCCTCAGATTTTGTGTTCAACGTAGTCAGGGCGGCAGTATACATCAGCACACCGATATTGAAAATGATTAAAGGAGTCGGCCCTTTTCATCGTAATCTTTGATGCACTTGATCTCCGGTTAAAAGGCGTGCCGGCTCGAGATTTTGTGCTCATTACCTGTAGAAGAATAAGCTGCATCTGTATGTACAACTCAGGCTCATCGTAAGTCTGTTGAATCCCAAATATTGACCCAAGTGTGAGTCTGAGCCTGGTGCCAGCCTGACGAGCGTCTACTTGTCGCCGTGCGACATCCACACACCGCACGCTGTGGTGCCGACCCTGCCATCCACGTCAGGGCGCGAGGATGAATGCTCACCGCTTCCGGCCATCGCGCGCTGCACTGCCGACGACGACCGACGCTATCCGTGGCACGATGACCCGACCGTGCTGCCGGTCATAGCGGAATGCGCTTCAAACAGCAACGTCATAGACGCGGGGACTATCGCGTTTTGGCGGCGGGGAACTCGGAGGACCGAGCCTCTCCAGCATTTGTAAAAATAGAGCACTAGGCACATGGCGCTGCATGGAGACAGCGGAGAAAAATGTCTGAGACCCTCTTCTCGATTCTGGAGAAGCTTCCGAGCTCCTAGAATCACGCTCACTTCACCGGGAATGTTGCAATGCTCTGTCTCTACTTATTCTACTGAAAGCATTGCGATGCCTAGTATAGCAAAGTTTTGCCGTTTGCGTCACAATCAGACAGCGAATGATTGGTCCATGCCAGGGAAAGCTAACTACATGCCATCGCATTAATATCTTTTTAGATTTTAGGAAATTTGCATCACAAATTTAACGATCATCTGCAATGATTTCTGTAGCCTTAGATTTTGTATTTTGTTTCGAGAAATGTGGGATCGTAACGCTATGTCGGTGTAGCGGCCACACCCATGCTCAGACTTGCAACGCGGCGAAGAAACAGCTCCTGGTATATGGTGCGGGTATAGCGGATATACCACTACGCAAAGCTGTATTCACGCCCAGGATGTTCATGCATCAACGTGCCGGTTTCTGCAACAGTGAAGCAAACTATAAACACAGACTGATAACAGCCATTCCGCAGCCACATAACCCCAAGGTGTTTAAGAGCATCACGCATCATGCACAAGTACCACACTCAAGCTTAACTTAGATTCTTAAGCAAACCAAGTAGTGTCCTCAATGGGCTCATGTGGCGCACTGCCGGTCGAATTCGCGGGGAAAGCTCACACAAAAGAAAGTAGCAAGTGAAAACGGCACGACAAAGAACGGCAGAAAAGGATGATGAGATGATGTTAGGGAACTAAATCGAAGCTGTATAGGTATGTGCACGGTTACCATATCAGTGCACTTTTCCGGTTCCACGGTACAGGGTTTACTTTGCGAGCGATACTGGGGTACTCGCCACAGCTTTCAATACCAGTCAGCGTTCTGTCAACATCATATGTATCGGGAGCCATGCCAGTCCTGCAGCCAGTCAAATCTGATCTCGAAGGCCGGTGCTCATGCATTTCAGCTGGTACCAGTACGGGCTGGACCTCATTTTTTGAACAAGTCGCATCTCAGGTATATACGGAATCGGCTTACGGCCCGATATGTGCATGCTGCCTTCAATTATGCTTCTCAGATGATGCTTTGAAATATTTCGCTCTGATCAAAATGTTCGCGAAATAGCTCTAGCTCAGTCATACAGAACGCCGCTGGAATATTGCCTGTCCTTCTCACCACTTAGGCCACGTGCTTACGGATTTTGCTTCCATGGTGAAAGCTCGCATGGAGGAAAAATGGAAAAAGCACTCCGTCTCCGAAAAACCACACGACTTGGCACACTTTCTCCGCATGGCCAGCGTGCACAGCCCAGTGACTCCATTCATATAGATGAGTATTGAATACTGTCCCGGCAGCACACCTCCGAGCCGTGGCCGCCTGCGCAGCGTCAGCCGAGGCCGTTACCAGAGCCAGAGCCGCAGCCCGCGAATCAATGCGGCCGGCGTTTGGCGCGGCACGTCTTCGACTGTCAGCCGACGCCACGGCGCCGACCGAGGACACGACCCGCTGCCGAGCCATGCTCACCACCGACACGCGGCCACGCCGACACAGCGGTCGCCCCCGACACACGGCCGTGCCGACACAGTGGTCACCCCCGACACATGGCTGCACCCACACAGCGGCCATCCCTCGACACACGGCCGCACCGACACAGTGGTCACCCCCGACACACGGCCGCCCCGACACAGTGGTCACCCCCGACACAAGGCCGCGCCGACACGGCGGTCGCCCCCGACACACGGCCGCGCCGACACGGTGGTCGCCCCCGACACACGGCCGTGCCGACACAGCGGTCGCCCCCGACATACGGCCGCACCGACACAGTGGTCACCCCCGACATACGGCCGCACCGACACAGTGGTCACCCCCGACACACGGCCGCGCCGACACGGGGGTCGCCCTCGACACACGGCCGTGCCGACACAGCGGTCGCCCCCCCCCCCCCCCGACACACGGTCGTGCCGACACAGCGGCCATCCCTCGACATACGGCCGCACCGACACGGCGGCCATCCCTCGACACACGGCCGTGCCGACACAGCGGCCATACCTCGACGCATGGCCGCACCGACACAGCGCTCACCCTCGACGCACGGCCGCACCGACACAGCGCTCACCCTCGACGCACGGCCGCACCGACACAGCGGCCATCCCTCGACACACGGCCGCGCCGACACAGCGGCCATCCCTCAAAGCATGGCCGCACCGACACAGCGCTCACCCTCGACGCACGGCCGTGCCGACACAGCGGCCATCCTTCGACACACGGCCGCGCCGACACAGCGGCCATCCCTCGACACACGGCTGCACCGACACAGCGCTCACCCTCGACGCACGGCCGCGCCGACACAGCGGCCATCCCTCAACGCACGGCCGCGCCGACACAGCGCTCACCCTCGACGCACGGCCGCGCCGACACAGCGGTCTCGCCAGGACATGCGGCCTCTGAGCCTGGCCGATAGGAATATTTAGGTCGCGGGTGCGTTATTAGTCAGAGCGCAGTTAGTCAGAGTCCCTTTTAAGCCAAGAAACTCACCAACAGGCTTACGAACGATGTTTTCACGGTGTTCCTGATAATATCGTCAAAGCCCCGACGTAACCGACGGGGCTTTATGGTGTTAGGCCGTGTCGTTGGCATCCCCCAAAACTGGGCCTCAGACCTAAAGTGTTCTTGCCAAGTCGCAGCTGGTTTCTCACATAGCTGCCCATTAAACGGTAAACTTTAACGGTGGCGTATGGTCCACTTTTCCCCTAAGTGTCGGGTGGCCTGGATGACTTGCCGGCTCTCTTCCGCACGTCCGGTGCCTCTAGCGCCAGCCGTGGCCTCAAAGCGTGCTGAGCAACGCCGGAAACGCATGGCCAGCATTGACGCTGGTCATCCGTGATGCAGACTGCTGGCTGAGCCGTGTCAGTCCCGGTACTCTAAAGCAACGTTGTCCCGATACAGACTCTGCCGTGTCAGCCCCGGCTCTGAACAGTCCGTCCCAGTACAGACTGCGTCGTGCCCGTCTCAGTACAGATTCTGCCGTGTCAGTCCCGACACAGACTGGACAATACCAGTCTCGGTCCCTTAAGCAGTGTTGTCTCGATACAGACTCTGCCGTGTCAGTCCCGGTACTGAGCAGTCCATCCCAATACAGACTGTGCCGTGCCTGTCCCAGTACAGATTTTGCCGTGTCAGTCCCGATACAGACCGAACAATGCCAGTCTCGGTACCCTAAAGCAGCGTTGTCCCGATACAGACTCTGCCGTGTCAGTCCCGGCTCTGAGCAGCCCGTCCCAGTACAGACTGTGCCGTGCCAGTCCCAGTACAGACTGAGCAACGTCAGTCCCGGTGCAGACTGAGCAGTCCATTCCGGTAATGGCTGAGCACTCAAGGTCCCGGTGCTGACTGAGCAGTATCAGTTCCGGTGCTGACTGAGTGGTGCCGGTGCGGGTGCTGACTGAGCAGCGCCGGCCCCGATGCGGACCCGCCGCATCGATCCCGGCACGGGTTGGCCCGTGCCGGCTACCAAGCTGAATGGGCCCTGACGCCATGTCCGTGAACTCACGTCGCAGCAATTCTAAGCGCTGAGGTAGACTGCCTGGTAGATCCCGGGTGTTTATCGCCGCAGCCGTGAGCGGCAAATGAAAGTCCTGGGTCTCGTATTAATGTTGCTGGCTCGATCGCTAAGAAATCAGGGCAATCCAATCAATCTCTTTTATGAGCTGCGAGGGTTAATCAATGCTGGACGACACGGCCCAGTTTGGGGTATTCGGGGCACAGCAACAGCGACAGCAAGAGCGAACCATCCATACATATCGGGAGTTACAGAACCCACAACGGGCACCACCAGCTGGCGAAGCCAATGATCGATGCACATCATCACTTTGAGCTGCACCAAGGAAGCTATGGTCAGGCAAACCACCACTGACCTATCAGAGCTTGGAACAGGCGCGACTGGAAGATGCGGATCAGATGCTCAATGGCGGCGGTGAGCTGCAGCTGCTGGCCCTTTGCCAGCTGCAGCTGCTGGCCCTTAGCCAGTTGTAGCTGCTGGCCGTCGACCAGCTGGCTGCGGTAGTCCTCCAGAAGCCCGAGGGCGCGGTGGGTCTCTGCAGACGCGGCCGAGCGGTCTCATCAGTCACCCGGTCCACGGCAAACACGGCGAGCGCTGTGCCGCAGCATACGTTGTGTGATAACCTGCGTGTCCATCGGCAATCGTGTCATATGTTCCCAAGCAACAATGCCACAATTACTTCAAGGGCCTGTGCCTCACATGAAAGTGCCATTACGATCACTGACGACCACGGTTCCGTTTGAGGCTTGGCAGGCGGCTGTCTGCTCGCAGACGTCAACAGAAACAGACGAGACGAGAGCTGACCTCTCTTTTTGACCGGCATCGTGCCGGGCGGTGCTGACGACTTTGACCAGGTACGCCTGGCGGTCCCGACGAGTCGCGACCTGCAACGAAGGCGAGACGATCTGACGCCTGACCCAATGTACGAGCTCCAACGCAGTTTGGAGGGGCGGGAAGGTGTTCTGCTGCGCTGGCTATATGTAGACGGAGAAACACACGCAAACATTGACTTACGAAGTTCCTAACGGGAGCAATGCTCCTCCATTGTTCTACTTCATCCAGGCGGTGCATGATATTTAAATGATGTGAGCTGGAACGTGACATAATTGTAACTAAACCATGATCGACATCACAATGCAGACAGTGCATCCCACAGCTCGCCATAGCATACTGATTTGTGAACACATGGCATCCCTGTCCACCAATAACACAAAACGGCTATGCCGTGATAGCAGTTGTGCTCCCAGGCGTGTGGAATTATAGACCAAATATCACAACTGAATCGTGGCTGACTTATTTACCGAAAACACTGCATTTACAGCAGGCAAGCGAACAGGGGCATGCGGAGCAGAAGCGCAGTTTCCTTTTCAGTTGGCGGGCTCAACTTTGTTCTCAACTTTACTCAGCCCCCTCAACTTTGGGCGGAAAGATCGGAAAAGGCGGAAAATTCATTTGTCACGATATTTTGGGGCAGGCTAGGACACTTTCACCGTTCAGCCCCCTCCCTTCCCCAACTGGCACTTCGCGAAACTACGCCACTGACAGGGGCAGGTGATAGCCGCCTGATTCCACGCCCTGAACGTGTCCGGTCCGCGGCTGGTGTCTCTTTCCGGCGACACCTGACGCCTGGCGGGCTGGAAAGCCGGCCATAACAGCAATTACTGTTGCGCGGATGGTGGAGGAGCCGGAGGCGTGTCGGCGCGTGCGCTGTCGGCAATCGATGAACGCCTGCCGCGAGCTGCCGTCTGCGTCTGCTCTGCTGACACAAGACGGACATGGCAGCAGGCCGACACGCGGCACGGGCGCCGGATCCGCCAGGCCCAACAGGGCATCGATAGCGAACAGGAACGTCACCTTGGAGCACCGACAGTGGGCAGTGGGGAACCAGGAGCACGGCGACAGGTCACCGATCTTTGTGGAATAGAAATAAAAACATGTATATAGATCACTGCTGCTGGCGAAAAGGAAATTTCCGTACAGTCCCAACGACACGGGCGCTGAGGCAACGAAAACATCAGCGTAGCCGTACAGTACAGACAACGTCGGAACGGAACAACAAACACATCGACGGAGCGTTCACACCAGAGGAACAAAGCGGCAACGTCTTGATCGAGTTCCGACACCGGCGAAACCAACATACCATACCGACAGGGTATGGACACTGATGAGATAGACAATCCAAACGGCGACAGCACCGACAGGGCGTTGAGACTGGCGGAGCGGGACTTATCGGCAGAGCAACGACGCTGGCGGAACAGAGACAGGAAACGTGTCTACAGAGTACCGCCGCTGGCGGAACAGAGACAGGAAACGTGTCCATTAAGCACTGACGCTGGCGGAACAGAGACAGGAAACGTGTCTACAGAGTACTGACGCTGGCGGAACAGAGACAGGAAACGTGTCTAGAGAGTACTGCCGCTGGTGGAACAGAGACAGGAAACGTGTCTACAGAGCACTGCCGCTGGCGGAACAGAGACAGGAAACGTGTCTACAGAGTACTGACGCTGGCGGAACAGAGACAGGAAACGTGTCTACAGAGTACTGCCGCTGGCGGAACAGAGACAGGAAGCGAGACAGGAAACGTGTCTACAGAGCACTGCCGCTGGTGGAACAGAGACAGGAAACGTGTCTACAGAGTACTGACGCTGGTGGAACAGAGACAGGAAACGTGTCTACAGAGTACTGACGCTGGCGGAACAGAGACAGGAAACGTGTCTACAGAGTACTGACGCTGGCGGAACAGAGACAGGAAACGTGTCTACAGAGTACTGCCGCTGGTGGAACAGAGACGGGAAACGCGCCTACAGAGCACTGCCGCTGGTGGAACAGAGACAGGGAACATGTCTACAGAGTACTGCCGCTGGCGGAACGATAACAGCATATCGCATATTGGCACTGAAAATTGGCACCGCAAATCATGGCCAGTCAAAATCGCAGCCCCAAAACTCTCGTCGTCGTTTAACTTTTTTGGTCTCATTGGCACTGGACTGCAGTTTGTTGCTCATTTAGAGGGGGGATTCGTCCTCAGCTTTAAGAAGAAATTGGGCCACGTCTAGGGGGAAACCGCTTTGTTGGCTACCTTGGGGGCGGGCATCATAATTGTTCATGGTTAAGCTCCCAACTCAATTTGTCAAATTTCGCCCATATTCATCCTACTTAAATTAATTATATGCGGCATGAAAACGCTGCTGTTAACAAAATAGCATTGTTCGCGCATTTTTGAAGCGTAGGTTACTTGAGCACTTGGCCATGCCGCTTACTTCGCACCATTCTTTGCAGCAAGACGTGCTGATGGGGGTAATTGCACAGTTAATTAAAAAATGGCCGCCTGGCAAACGCCCAATGCTTCGAACGCCCCTGAACGTACACGCACAAAGCTGTAGCTATATAGGTATGTATGCGTATTAGAGGTGCAAAAAGCCTGGTTTATGTTTAAGAACGCAATTGATTTTGATGGAAATTCAGTAGAAATCGAAACAATGGCTCTTGAAATGTATGTGACGCCAGCGTCGAATCGTAGATCAATTGACATGCATGAAGATCGTACGATTTCAAGCCGTTCCAAGGGAGTGGCCCTTATTTGGAGATACTGAGGCAAGTATCATGCATAATGAGTCACTTGTAAGCTCACTTGTACCTATTGGTATGCTTACACTAAAGGTTTAAAAGACTGATCTTGCTCGCAAAATTTCGCTTTTCGGTAAATATGCTCTCAATACACCATCGTTGGATTCGGACCCCTTTTACGCTGTCAGAGTCGCTGCCAGAGTAGCTGCAGTCGCCAGAGTGAGCCAGAGTCGCTGCCAGAGTAGCTGCAGTCGCCAGAGTAAGTCAGAGTCGCTGCCAGAGTAGCTGCAGTCGCCAGAGTAAGTCAGAGTCGCTGCCAGAGTAGCTGCAGTCGCCAGAGTGCGGCAGAGTCGCTGCCAGAGTAGCTGCAGTCGCCAGAGTGAGCCAGAGTCGCTGCCAGAGTAGCTGCAGTCGCCAGAGTAAGTCAGAGTCGCTGCCAGAGTGGCCGCATCAGAACTGCCACAGTAACGGATGGGCTGACGGTATGCTCGTCGCAAGGTAGCTTGTTAATCTATGCGTGTGTAATAAGCCGACGGTCAATACGTGTCGTATTTTAGGTCTTTCTGGTGGTGTTCTCGCAAACGCTTCTCCGATGGCATGTTTTTCACTTGCATTTAAGTTCTCGGTTACGGCGCATTTCTTGTTATTCGATTTCAAGCCTCAAGACCGTCATAACTTGTAGAACTATCAAAATGCCTAGATTATGTAAGCCTATCACAAAACGTGGCTGGTAATCGAGCATGTACCCTTTTCCCCTTTTTGTGCACCCTCGCGACACCCCACTTGTCTGGGGCAGGCTGTATGCGCCAGACATGAGTGGGCTGGCGCATATCCCATGGTGGTAGCCCCGTCCGAGCGCCAAGCACGCGTCTCGCAGAGGGGTCCCTGTGCGAGCAAAGTCTCGGCGAATGGGTCCAAGGTGCGTGCAGTCCCGTCCCACCGCTATCCACTCTGCATTCAAAACCCCATAAAATGTAAAGCAGTCCGTCGATCGATAGATTGATTGGTTCCGGCGATATGTAGAACGGCGCACAACACTCCACCTGCTAGCAGATGGAAGGTGGTGAATAGCCCGGCAACCGCAGGATCACCCGGAGGAGAGAACTTTGGGGGATTCGGTCTGCCCCCCCCCCAAAAAAAAACTGCAAACTATGCAGAACAAAAGTTGGATTTTCTTTGTGACAGCCCGATCATATATATGCCGTCACTCCAGTGGCCGTGTATTCTCATTACGGATGAGGGTTAAACAATCTCCGATGGTGGTCAGTATCTCCCAGAGCCCGTCATCATTTCAGTGGCCACAATTCTCGTTATCGCAAATCTACAGAGCGGGTAAGGTGTGCTTACAGAAGCGGCGTGCCTCATTTGCCCAGATCACTGGCCAGGGACAGAGAAGGGTATCTCCAGTTCGAACCTGGCTCAAACACTGGTGTCTCAACACCTCATCATGTCCTGCTTAAATGAGTGTGACAAGACTACGGCGCTAATGATCGCAGATGCTGCATGCGTTAGAAAATAACCCCAATGGATTAATGGAAGACCCACAGTTTATGGATTTACCCACAGAACCCACAGTTTACCGAAAAGCATGCCTAGATGGTGTATGGCGGTCACTCTAATTCGTTCAAGAACTAATTGAGCATGACTGTTATTTCGGCCCAGTCTCGAACTGATGTTACCGCTTTGCCTTTTGAAGGTCCATACTGTACTTATTCATTTTGCTATCGCGTATACGGTGTCGGAATATTTATCTAGAAGCAGCACATTTACATGACAACACAAATATGGTAAGCGCTATTATTTGTCTCTCTGATTGTCTTTTGTCTGCATCACTGTAATGGCATAAACAAGTTGCTCTGGTAACTCGTAGATTAAAACATTACAAAACCAACATAATACATTCTTCACACTTCGTAGAGCCTTTCATAATTTTAGAACCGGACATGCCCTATAATCCAGAGACGTGCTCTGAAAGAAGGTCAAAATGTCCCTTGGATGTTGGATGACCTTCCACCAAAGCTAAACGTCAATTGCGGATCACACCAAATCCCTTAAAAACAGCTTGAAAATATTATGTGGTTCACAAAGATCCTCATACAAAATAACAAGCAAACAGGGATCCAATAACCCGGACGAATAACACCGAACTTACAGACAAGCGGAGCAGGAGACAAGGAGACAAGGAGACAAGCGAGACAAGCGAGACAAGGAGAGCAGGAGACGGTCAGCAGGTAAGTTGATTTTTTTCATATGCACAGATAAATGTTAGGATATGACAGTTAGGCGGGTAGCTTGATGGCTCGATAAAAATAGCTGTGGTGTTTACCATGTTCCGCGCCTTTATCACATTAAGTAAATTGCAGCGTCATTGTTTTCGAGGCTGCGTGGTTTCCCTTCACAGCCCGCCGAAGCGTCAATAAGCGAGCTGGTTGGCCACATGCGACGCTTGTGTGTACGTTGCACAGCGGGCGTAGTGTGGCCGCCGACCAACTGCCGGCACGATAGCCAAGCAAGGCGGCAGGCGACCACGATCGTGCGTTTGACGCGAAAGAGATGTTAGGGTGCCAACTCGTCTTTTAAAGCTTTTGGGCAGAAGCTCGCGGCTTGGGAAAATTGGTGATAGATAGCCTAAATTCATTAATACATCAGGTTAGAAAGATAACAAGGTGCATTACCGCTATTTGACCGTCGAGAGGACCAACGGTACGACCTGGCAGGCCTCCTCGAAGCCCCACACCGTCCATGGGTAGGGAAGGCGGCCGTGGCAGGTCCCACCCACTCCCGCCGTGAGGTCCCAGAGGTAGCCAGCGAGTCACTGCGACGCTCCAGACATACCCGGTCGATGTAGGCACGGCTGCGACAGACCAACCCTGTGGCTGGACAAACAGCACACGTGGCTGACAATGAAGCTTCGCTGATCGCTGCTCGGGATAAATGGTGTTAATTATCCTCGAACTTGACACGTGAGAAGATTTGAGGGTGTGACAGAATACGCTGTCTTTACGTCGTACTTGCAGAATCTTTTTCTGCGAAGTTAAGCGGTAACATGGGCCCTGTTTGGAAGCAAGTAAGCTGCTGAAACTAGCATTACGCAATACTCCATTTTGAGGACAGTATCAGAGAGCCGTAATCTGGAGGTAGGATCATTGCAACAAAGATATTACCTTAACTATGTATAAACATAAAATCAAAGGTAATGACACAAATATGAAATAAAAGCGCTACGCGAATTGCGGAACGCTTGTTGGGTTTGTTCCGTTTATTGCTGGAATGCTGGACAGGAGCCTATACAGAAATCATTAAGCTTCTTCCTTCTGGAAGGCATGAATGACGCCCGGATGCTTTTTTGTTCGATCGAACTTACTTTTAAGTATGTCTTACCCTCCTCACCTCAATGAAATGTTACATGGCAACTTATAATCTTTAAAATCACAGGGGAGGGGGGGGGGTAAAATCCGGCGCTGAGGCAGACAGATACTTGGCTATAATTTTTGTCTAGGGGCGGGTGGAGGAATGACAGATGTGCAACAAAATCCTTTGAAATCTCCTAGTACCTGTTGTGAGCCTCGTGGCTCAGAGGCCCCACGAGCCCCGTGCCGTCTCCCTGACTACGTGCCTGGCAGATGGAAGCAACAAATGTACTCCTTCAAGCACTGGTCGTCCAATGCTGCAGGAAACGTCTGGCGATAGCTGTCACCTCCTGAAGAGTGTGCAGGACGAGGCATTCGGCTGGGAGAAGCTTGGTATGCAGGCGTCACATTCGAAACTTTGTTCCCGATGTTCTTGATACGTTAACGTTGATTTTACGTGATGGGTTGTATCTAAGACGGACTTGACTGTGGCTTGTATGCACGTGGTTGTCGAAATACACTGAGGCGCCAAACAAATTCGTGTCCTCGGGTATTTTACAAATATTTCGTACACTAAATATGACGGGAATTTACCGCCAGATATTACCGCACAACACATCATTAAAACGTCCCTAGTTTTATGCCAGACTGCAATGGTAAGTAGCAATTTGAACCACTTTTTGAACGCTCTCTTTTGCCTCAGCAAAAGCCTTCATAGTATACATAGAACCACGTCTATGTATACTACGTATACATGGACGTGGTCTCATATATGGTCTCATATTCAGTTGGATGGGGGGGGGGGGGCGGGGGGGGGCGGGGGGGGGGGGGCGGGGGGGTGGGGCGGGGAGAACTTAAGTCCCCGCGATCCAACTTGGGTTTCAGCCTATCCAACTTTGGGAAGAAATTGGCCAAGTATGGGGAGAAACCTGTTCGATGGCATATTTTGGGGAGAGGTTCGGTCACTTTTCAGCGTTTAGCCCTCCTCCCCCTCCCAACTCATTTTGAGGAACTAAGCAGCTGTATAGTACAGTAAGGTCAAAATCACGTAATGAGGCAGTAACAGCATTTTTAATTAATTAACACCATAACATTTGGCGGAGACGGTTAGAGACGCATCTTCTCCCTCAGGCCCGGCGGATTTAGCCTACCCGTGGATTCAGCACGTTGTCACACGGTATGCATCAGTCCATCTGCGCGCACACGGCACGTTTCAGTCCATCCCACGCTCACAATGCATGCATCAGTCCATCCCACGCTCACAATGCATGCATCAGTCCATCCCACGCTCACAAGGCATGCCACAGTCCAAACCACGCTCACAAGGCATGCCACAGTCCAAACCACGCTCACAAGGCATGCATCAGTCCATCCCACGCTCACAAGGCATGCATCAGTCCATCCCACGCTCACAATGCATGCATCAGTCTATCCCACGCTCACAAGGCATGCCACAGTCCAAACCACGCTCACAATGCATGCATCAGTCTATCCCACGCTCACAATGCATGCATCAGTCTATCCCACGCTCACAATGCATGCATCAGTCCATCCCACGCTCACAATGCATGCATCAGTCTATCCACGCTCACAATGCATGCATCAGTCCATCCCCACGCTCAAACGCGCAGAAGGGTGGCTCACCCGGGCTAGCACAGCTTCCGACGTCACAGACAGCCGGCGCCGCGCCCCGCCGCCGCTCCCGCAGCGCCCTCAGGCTTCCCCACCCGAGACGGCACCACCCGCCGACCCCCGGTTTCGGCGTGCGACTGAGCCGGCGTCGGTCACGTGTCGTCGGAGGCGGGCGCGCGCCGGCACCGCGTCGCCGCGCTCGGCCGATCAGGACGCGCCCGGCCGGCCCGGCTCGGTGTCGGGGCGCCGCCGGCGCGCGGTGGAGCGGCGCTGCAGAGCGCACTGAGGCAGCGAAAACCTACCCAAGGGAACGTTGACCCCGGGTTGGTAGCACGGTTGTACTACCGGGATGTACAATTGTATCTTCCTTGCCGCGAAGGCACTCGGTGCACGCATCGCTTAATAATACCATGTCGATCTTGGGATGCTGTCGATTGTCGGTGAGGCAATGGAGTGACAGAAGAAGTCGTGCAGCTTTGAGATGGTTTCTTTCACAATAAGAAAACTGAAAATGTGCCTATGGCTTATGCGTTGGCCTTACGTCAGGTACGAATGCCGAATGAAGTAAAAGCCAAGCTTCTTCATTGCTGGAAAACTTGCTTTGTGAGTCGGTTTTACGCTCATCTCGAATTCCTGGATCACAAGGGCAAAACACCTCAATCCGAAGAAAAATGTGTACAAATTTGCCGGCGTTGTCACACAAACTCAACGAAACGTCACATTATGACTTTGGTTCCTCCCCTATCGCGTGGCACTTGAGGGTGTGCGCTTCTTTGATGGCACCTGAGAAACCTATTTGGAACTTAATGGCTCTGTTCTACTGTCCGAAAATTCTACCTATTTCACCTCCCATTCTGAACATTGTACCTACTTTTGTGGGTTCCGCAACATAAGTGTTACAACAAAGCTTCAACCGGCAGGGGTGCTACGACCAAACTTCTGCTGCCTTCATACACACTGGCGCAATGGGATGAATTCATGCCGAAAAATTGTTGCTCGTCACAATTTATGCTGCAAAACATTAACAGTAATTGTTAATAAACTACTTTATTTCTGCCGCAAAGTCTTAACAGCGGCATTAGTGTTATAACTTAGAATTGTGGTCAAGTCTTTGCTGTAAAAATGACTTGTGGAAATGATAGATGCTACTTGTTTTTGCAGCATAAGTTTCGCCGTGCAGCACTCATGTCGTGTATGAGTTTTGCAAGAGATAATATCGCGTATAAGTAAAGACGGCACACGTTTTTGCGGCAGATGTAATGACGTGTATACGTTTTTGAAGCATAAATTTTGTAGTAAAACACTCGTGGCGTGCAAAAGGCTTTTCAATAGAAGCAATGATGCGTCTAGGTAAAGTCTGCATAAGTTTTGCAGTAGAAGTAATGTAACGCATAACTGGTGTAGTAGCACTCCTGTCGGAAGGAGTTTTTACAGTAGCAATAATGCCGTGACACCGCCTTTGTGTTGGAACTAGCTCTCTTTGTGCGTGATATGAACGTCAGTGGCCTTTTGCTTAGAGGAGGAACTCATGTTAAGTCGGATTGCATTTGGAGGTCTGAGTGCACTCCTGGGTCGATCTGGAGTTTGTCCTTGTTTAAATTAATTTGACCCAAGTGTAACGATCCTAGGTATTCAAAATCTGACGAATTTACTGAAACTAGTTTTCGTCGTTTTAAAATTTCAGGGAGGGGGGCTCTGGTGTGCGTGCACATCCAGGTGTGCGTGTTGATGTCAGGAGGATTTGTTGTGCATATAGAATATGCAACGTCTGCGTTGAAAATGATCAGCGTTCCGACATTGCCGTGCCTATGGAATCGGGAGAATGAATGTCAAATGTACGTTTGATCTCCAATAAGCCACACTCCTTTCTCGGAGAGGTGAGAGCAGGTGCAAGACACAAAAATATGAAATGTGATGTTGGCAGAAGTTGATTGAACCACGGCCTCTGAAGTTCTTTTGCAGTAGGAGCGCGGGAGAACCCGCCCATTGTAAACCAAATAGGGAGAGACGGTCGTATTGCAAACCATTTCAGATTGTTGATCTGCATCATGGTCCATGACGTATTTCAATTTCACCTCATTTCCACCGCACGTTGTAAGGCTTTCCACTGCCCATCTTTTGGACAAGCCGTACACCAGGAACGTGCTGTTCTGTTTTCACTTTGGTGCTGGCCAGATTTGCTAGCCAGAAGCTCTGGCTTTACCAGCTGAGTCACGTGTGAGAGGTTACTTTCGAATTATTGAAAAACAATAGCGAAGGGCATCATTGTATGGAACTGAAATATGTTTGAGTACTGCCAAACGAAAATTTCATTCATATTGATTCTTGGTGTCGCAGGGTTTTGAACCATGGCACACCACGAAACACCAACGTTCTATTCAAAGAGCATTTATGCAACGCAGAGTTTTTTTCACGGCTGCCTTTACCAGAGACTGTTTCTTGACGCCGTCTTTCACCAGCCGGCTGAGGCAATCCTGTGCAGTACGCCGCAGCTACGCCTGAAGTGTTTCGGACCAGATATTATGTGACGCTCAAAATCCTGTCTTGATCGGTGCAGCTGCGAGGAACGTTATACATACATTACAGCAGTCCTCATTCCTAGTCGATGGATAGCGGCGAAGTGAATAATAAGATATATATTTATATTTCGGCCACAAACATTTGTAGAAACAGTGCATTGCTGAGCTCCTCATCAATGCACTGCTTTGGAAAAGGCTGGTAGTCAAAATGTCAGTATATCTGTTCATTTAGCTTCTCGTCGTCTGTCAGCAAGGAATAAGGCCAATGGTATGCTATTATTTTGTATTTTGCTGCAAATATCTCCAGGTGAGTTATAATATAGCTATCAACACATGTTATTCGTTGAAGCCAGTGGTTTTCTGTGATAGCTGAATGACCTGAAATAGAATGACTGTTTGCTATACTGTACGGTGCTGTCGAGCACGGGAACCAAAGGAATACCAATCACGGTGTTGGGTTGTTCCAATGCGATACCAGTCCGCGGGACCGACTGTGCGAACCCACAATAAAACGCTGTTCGTGTGGGGCAGAGCTCGCACTATGCGATGTGGTTTGGTGTCATTATAATATATTATATATATATATATATATATATTATATATATCAGAGAGAGAGAGAGTTTGAGAGAGATTCGCGAGAGAGAGAGAGAGGAGAGGAGAGAGAGAGAGAGAGCGAGAGAGAGAGAGAGAGAGAGAGAGAGAGGAGAGCGAGAGATGTCTATATATATTTATTATTATATTTTTGTGGGCCAGATATATATTTTATCTATTCTATTATAAATATATTAGAGGAGAAGAAATGAGTCTCTCTCTCTCTCTCTTACTCTCTCTTCTCTCTTCTCCCTCTTATTCTCTCTCTCTCTCTCTTCTCTCTCTCTCGTCTCTCTCTCTGCTCTCTCCTCTCTCTCTCTCTCTCTCTCTTCTCTCTCTTCTCTCTCTCTCTCTCTTCTCTCTATCCTCTTCTCTTCTATTCTCTCTCTCTCTCTCTCTCTCTCTACTCTTCTCTCTCTCTCTCTTCTCTCTCTCTTCTCCTCTCTCTCTCTCTCTCTCCTCTCTCTCTCTTCTCTCTCCTCTCTCTCTCTCTCTCTCCTCTCTCTCCTCTCTCTCTCTCTCTCTCTCTCTCTCTATCTCTCTCTCTCTCTCCTCTCTCTATCTCCTCTCTCTATCTTCTCCTCTCTCTCTCCTCTCTCTCTCTCTTCTCTCTCTCTCTCTTATCTCTCTCTCTCTCTCCTCTCTCTCTCTCTCTCTCTCTTCCTCTCTCTCTCCTTTCTTCTCTCTCTCTCCTCTCTATCTCTCTCTCTCTCTCTCTCTCTATCTCTCTCTCTCTCTCTTCTTCTTCCTCTCTCTCTCTCTCTCCCTCTTCTCTCTTCTCTCTCTCTCTCTCTCTTCCTCTCGCTATCTCTCTCCTCTCTCTCCCTCTCTCTCTCCTCTCTCTATCTCTCTCTCTCTCTCTCTCTCTCTCTTCTCTCTCTCTCTCTCTCTCTCTCTCTCTCCTCTCTCTCTCTCTCTCTCTCTCTCTCTCCTCTCTCTCTCTCTGCACATATATACACATATATACGGATACATGTATATGCATGTGTATATATACCTCAAAACCCTATGCACATGAATACCTAAGACAGATATGTATGTATGTATATACATGTGCATATATATATATATATATATATATATATATATATATATATGTATATATATGCATATATATATATATATATTATATATATATATATATATTATATATTATATATTGTATATACATATGCATATATATAATATATATATATATATAGTATCTATCTCTCTCTCTCTCTCTCTCTCTCTCTCTCTCTCTCTCTCTCTCTCTCTCTCTCTCTCTTCTCTCTCTCTCTCTCTCTAATGTGTGAGTTTATGTGCCGGGTTAGTGGCCCCTTGATTGAAATTCGATCAAAATTCATGATTCCCCGCGGCTAAAGCCAGCAAACAATGACCAAAAAAGGTAGCCTTAAGCAGCGGTCTAGTTTCCTCTTCAGCAGGGGACTTCGGCCTCCCTCCCCTAACTTTTGGAAGAAAGTGAGCCAAATCTGGGAAAATCCTGTTTGTTGGCATACTTCGGGGTGCGTAAAGACTTCTCATTTGGTGAAACTTCGCCCCTGGTCTCATCTTTGGTTTATTGAAGTGGCATGGAATGACTCATTAGATCATAAAACTATAAGTCAACACCAATCACTTTGTAAATGTGCGTACTGCACAGCTCGGTCTTTGAAACTGAACCCGGACCTTTGCCATTACCAAACCACCGATCCAAATCCAGCGATGTTGAACGTTCTCATTATTGAATTCCGACTTTCCCAAATTTGTCTACTTGACTTGATTCTGCCACTTTAGCTCTAATAAGTCGATGGTTATAATCCGCTATGCCATGTCGGTCTTCCGTAAGTTTTTGAAATGTTCATTTCCTGCCTGTCTGCTGTCGTGGACGAACGCTGAAACCCACGACGTGTGCTTGAAATTCTGAGCACATGAGCACAAAATGGGGAGGGAAGCGGCCGGGGTCATGGCGAGTCTAGAAAAACTCATCACACTGGGCTACAACTTTCTGTCAAAGCCATCTAGA